GTCTATTCCTAAATGATAGACTCTAGTTTTTCCTTCCCTGGCTTCTTTCTAGAATAATACTTGACTACTTTCCTTAGTAGTCCTTTTATTCTCATACAGCAATATTTTCATCTCCTTCCCTAGTGGAATTTGTCCCTAGGGGTGCAAACGAGCCAAACTACTCGTGAGCTACTCGAGATCGAAGCGTTAAAAGCATGACTCGAGATCGATTTTAAACGAGCCCGAGCCGAGCTCGAGCTTAATATTAGGCATGTTTTTTAAACGAGTTCGAGCTCGAGCCTCTGTTACTTGGCTCAATTAGGCTCGCGAGCCTAAACGAGCCTACATATATATAAATATATTTTTATTTTTAAATATTAAAATAAATAATAATTTAATAAATACCATTTTAGGAAATTAGAGTATACCATATACGAGCCGAGCCCAAACCGAGCTAGAGCCCGTACAATTCTTAACGAGCCGATCTCGAGCTTTGTACCATATGGCTCGAAACGAGCCGAGCTCGAGCTCGAGCCTATAAATATTTAAACGAGCCGAGCCCGAGCCTGGTCAGGCTCGCGCTCGGCTCGGCTTGTTTGCAGTTGTCCCCTACTCAGTAGGATCGTCCTCCTCAAATAACTATAAAGGTTCCTTGGAGGTATCTTATGACGATTCGGCTGGCTCTCTAGTTGCTCCTGAGGATTCACTTTTCTTGTGAGGTTCCTTGTTAGGGGTTTTAAAGGAAATAGAGGTATGGGAAACTCAGGAAAATGGGTATCCTAGTCTTTAAGAGAGGATGGCACAACTTGATCTTTCTCTAGAAATGGTTTCATTACCCTGTTTCCAAGATCTGTCATTCTTATGCGGCAACCATTCTATCTTCCCTAGATAGTGATGTCTGAGTCCACGGGTTTTCTAGGTTCTATGGGATCCTCGAGAGTCTAGTATATCAGGTTTTCTTATCGAGAGATTTAGTTTTTATTAATTTATGTTTTGTACTTCTAGACCATACCATAGGGATCAACCAGGTAGGAAAAAGTCGGAGGGCAGGACCATTTTGGCGTATAGCTATTCTAAAATCCAGAAACCTAAAGAGAGAAAATTTCCAGACTAGTCACTTTTCCCCATAAATGATCTATCAGTAGGGTAATTAATAATAATACTTTTATTCGTAGGTTTGAGGACAAACCTAATCGGAGTATAAGCCCCTGGGCTATAGTCGTATTTCCTAAGGAAGCACTAGTTTGCTATAGCCAAAACTCTGATACCAATCTGTCACACCATGCCCGACCGTCGGCGGAAACGCCAGGCAATGTGACGTAGGTATGTTGGTTCTCAGTCCTTGAACATATATTGAACAGTACAAAACAGAATATGTAACATAGACATCTATTTTATTTATAGATAGAATGAAACATGAACGATAAACTACAGGGATTTTCTAACTGCTTCCTCCATCAACTGTTGCTTCCGGGAGTGTAGGCTTCTATCTCACGACCTCCTAGGAATACATGAGGTTTTGAAAACGCCAATGTAATATTGGTGAGTTCACAGGTTTTTAGAGTTTTCGATTTTTGCGTAACTTTTAAAAATCCTTTTTCTTTGTGAAAAACATTTCTTAAATATTTCATTAACCTAGCTTTCTATCTTTTTAGGATATCTAACAACCCTATCTTTTATCTTATTAGGATATCATTTATTAATCCTAATTTATTATCTTTTTAGGATATCTAACGATTCTAACGTATTTTAATTAGGATATTTTTATTAATCCTAATTTACTATCTTTTTAGGATATCTAAGGATCCTAACGTATTTTAATTAGGATATTTTTATTAATCCTAATTTACTCTCTTTTTAGGATATGTAACAATCCTAATGTATTTTAATTAAGATATTTTTATTTCTCCTAATTTTTTTGTAGTGGATGTTTATTTCAACAATACCTTTAAAATTCTCATTCTAGTAATCATCGTACAACAAATGAGAAGGCAAACGGGCATCAAGTTGCGCCGCTAAGCCTTTTTGTATGGTAAAGTCAATTCTTTTGAAGACTACATCCATAGATCTAGGGGATATAACATTGTTATGCATGATCCGTTGTACTCTACTAAAAAGCTCCACCACATCCGACAAATGCAAATGGTATGAACACGTGTTGATTTTCCATGCACGATTTCTCATGTTTGGTGACCTTGCATGTAACAGCTTTTAATGCAGTCTGTCCCACCGTGAAACCCCCGACCCTTAAGCCTACGAGAGGGGATACCCCTGTAAGGTCCATTCATGCATGTTTCCCTCCAACCCATCCAAAAATTAAAACGTCATCCGGTCTAAGGGTTGACCTTCCTTCTGTCGGGTCAGTCGGGAAATTCACAAGAGCCTATTTCTTATCGGAAACCCTGGCACACTATCTTTTTAGGATATTTTCTGAGAAGTGTTGCATGTTACTGAAATAATACCCTTCAAGAAGTTTTCAACATTTTTTTGAAAGCTTCACTTATAATTCATAAAGTCAAGGGATGAAAGTTATACCTTACTCTCCATAGTTTGAGGTTGATTTACCCAGGATTCCTTATTTTAATCTCCCCTTATTCTTGTTGATGTTTCTGAACTTTTTATCCAAAAAGTAACCTTAAAACTTAAAAATGGAAGAGAGTTATTGTATTGTTTCAAAAGTTTTTGATGTGTATAATGATTTGTACAACTCGAAAATGTCCTCAGTTATGTAACCTACCGGCATTAGATGCATGCGAGCCATATGTCTAAACGTAGGTAATCAAGAAGTTAAAATATTTAGCCCAAATAGCCCATTCACACACGCAAACAATTGCCACATATGATGTTACCCATTCCTCCCATTTTCGACCTATCTTGTGACAACCATAAGTTTTACATACAATATTAGAGTTCGACAAACTTTAAATCTATGGAAACCTAGGAATGAGTTTTACAAATTTTTCTTCTAACCTTTGGCTAAATCTATATTGGTTTCGATTTATTAGCCCAAGAACTTAAGTTTTAATCCATTTTTTACACCTTTTAGCCATTTTTCATTTGGCCATAACTTCTAAATCTTAACTCCAAAACACTTTATTTTTTCCAGGTTTCTCTAAATTGATTTACAATTTGAGATATAACTCCTAAAAGTAGTTGCCTTCATCCATTACAATTTATCTTTCATACCCTTTCTCCTTATCTTGTCTCCAAAAATAGATTCCATGGCCTCAAAGTTGACATTTAATCATTTTTGACAATATTTACACATTTCCAACTCATTCCATTTAATTTTCTTACTTAATAAACATCCTAATATATTGACAATATTGGGTCACTTTATGGTTTAATCCCAATATTTATTTTTTGAACAAAAAAGTGTCGATTATCTAATTTTATACAATAATCTGTCATTTTCTGTTGAAAAAAAATAATGACTGTTTCGTTAATTTGGGCAAAATATAAATAATCGAAACTTTTCTATTCAAAAAATAAAACTTTGGATTAAAGCGTAAACTAATCCACAATATTGAGATTTTATCGGAGATTTCCCTATTATTTATGTATATTTGAATTCTGTTAAAAATGAGAGGAATAGGAGAGTGAGAGTTTACCATTTCCTAAGGTGAGAAACAGAGAAAGGGTGAGAGAAAATGATGTGGTGCCGATATGACACACAAAACCTAATCTACATTTGTCACGGTCCAAGTCCAAAACCTATTATTTATGTATATTTGAATTCTGTTAAAAATGAGAGGAATAGGAGAGTGAGAGTTTACCATTTTCTAAGGTGAGAAACAGAGAAAGGGTGAGAGAACATGATGTGGTGCCGATATGAAACACAAAACCTAATCTACATTTATCACGGTCCAAGTCCAAAAGCAATTTCTTATCGCTGCCGATGGCTTCTCTGTTTTTTAAGTTTTTATGTTAATAAAAGTTAGAAGTCAAGAGTCAAACAAGCCTCCAAAGACCAATGTTCTAAAAACCGGTTGGATCGTGAACCGCTGAAGAGCGGATTTTTGCGCATCTATGACTTGGATTAACACGGCCAGGTTTACCAAAAAACTGTTGAACTGGTGACCATTGAGCCGGTAAAATCTGAAATAATTAAATGAAGAGGCTTTGGCAAAGTATCTGATTACATGTGAAAGCTCACAGCAAACACCCAGAATGAAGATATCTCGTTTGATATACTCACAAGACTGGAAAGTCAGTTGTTGTCTTTGTTGGGGCTGAGCTGTGAGAATAACTGTTCATCTCTTGGTTCTGGTTCATCCTTTTTGCACGCCCAAGAGACTATTATTGATACAGAAGCTAGCGCGTTAATTCATATGTCTGGATATTGGAGGGAGATAAGGGTAAAATTGGAAAGCTTAAAATCAAAACAATGAAAATGCAATCTCAGAATTTTGGTAAAATTGTAGGGGTAAAACTGGAAAGCTCTACTCCACTGCTAGATTCTTGGAGGAGGAAAAATCGGATCTCTTATCAAAGGAAAAATTCGGAAGTTTAAATTCAAAACAATGAAAAAGTCAACTTAGATTGAATACGATTACCTTTAATCAAAACCGACTAAACCTCTAACCCGAAACTGAAATTAACATGAGTGATCAAAGATTTTTGCAAGAATATTTCCTTTGACCAATATACGTAATAAAATATATTTCATTGACCAATATACTTGTTCCAGAAATAAATCGGTAATATTCAAAAGCCATCGCATAAGAAATGAATAATATTCAACTATTGTGTTCTCTCCGCTACACTATATGTGAATGCTACCCTCCGCTTGCTTCTATAAGAGAACAAGTTTTTGTCCCACTTTCTCTTAAGTTTCGATCTTATCATTACTTAGAAATTTGCTTGCAGGAACAAGATTTAAGACTCAACTTTCCATATCTTTCAAAGACCCCATTTTTAACTCCAAAACTCCTTCAATCCCATATTTCTTCTTCAGAAACAAAGAACCAAGTCCCTAAATTTTTTAATCTTTATTATTTAGGGTTCAGATTTCTGATAAAATGAAGAAAGAGCAAGTGATTTTGATGTTATGCACAATTGTGATAGCAATCCCATTGGTTCAAAGTGTTTCTGAAGGGCCAAAAGCAGTGCAAAATTGGTTCAAGGAGCTCCCACTCAAAAAACAAAAGTCTACAAACCTACATTTTTTTTTTCATGACACCATCGCCGGACCAGGTCAAACTGCATATCAAGTATTCGACTCAAACATCACCTCAACCAGCATGAGCCAATTTGGTCTTGGCTTCATGTTTGACAACCCTCTAACCGTTGATCCGGAAGCAAGCTCCATGAGGATCGGTAGGGGCCAAGGGCTATTTGGATCAGCATCCTTGGAAGTACCACGGTTTCTTATGAACTTGAACTTTGTGTTTACAGAAGGGACTTTCAATGGTAGCACCCTACAGGTTCTTGGCACTAACCCTATCTTGAGTCAGGTTCGTGAAATGTCTGTTGTTGGTGGTACAGGCGTTTTCCGACTAGCTCGTGGGATTGCCACTGCTCAGCCGTATTTCCGTAATGATACGTCGACTATTCTTGAATTTGATCTTGTCGTGCTTCATTATTAAGCTCGTTGATGTTAAAGTATAAGCTAAATATGTCAGTTACTATGTGGAGTCTTTTATCGTTTTGTTGTTTAGGAAGGATTGCGTTGTTTTGGATTAATAATTAACTGCCATGACTGTTACATGGTTGTTACATATATCATTAGTATAGATATGGAATAAACAATTGTGTGTCTACGCTTGCTGTAATAAATAAAAGTTTTGATTATAAATCTTCTTTTACCATATCGAATCTCTATTCTATTCAATAAACTGGTATCAGAGCAAGGCGTCTTGACATCGAATGGCAACGGATTGCAACCACACTCAATGATATATATTATCACTATTGGAGTATACAGATGAAAGTTCTATACGAATCTCAAAGATTATGGAGCATTGTTGAAAATGGAATCAATGAACCGGAAAATCAGGCAGGCTTAACCACACAACAATTAAGTGATTTAAGAGGGTCTAAGAAGAAGGATAGGAAAGCTCTGTTTTTTATCTATCCCGCAATGGACGATGTGATCTTTGAACGGATATCTTCTTCATCAACATCAAAAGATGCATGGGATTCGCTATACAAAACGTATCGTGGAGAAGACAAAGTTAAAATTGTAAGATTGAAAACGCTAAGATATGAGTTTGATACATTAACAATGAAAGATTCAGAAAAAAGATAGCAGACCAGGGAAGGAACACAAACTTCATGCATAGAGAAGACGATAAAGTAGTAACCATGTTTATGATGTTCACTTCGTAAGCACTGGCACGTGTAGAACAGAAAACCACATGGTTTCCTTTTTAAGTCAAACCCGTATGAATGAAAGAATCAAATATACTAATAGCGGGTCGGCCGGTCGGGTGGTTCGGTTTTTATGCCTTAAAATATTTTAAGTTCTTACAATTTAAAGTCAAAAATACTATCGCCCTTGTGAATGTAACAAAAAGTCTTGGAAGTGAATGTAATTAAACTATAAAATTCAAACTAATGAAACAAAATGTGTTGGAAGTGAATGTAATTAAAAATATCAAAAATTCAATTGTCAAATTCATTGTCCATTGACAAAATCTTTCATGTCCCTGTGAATCAAAGTCTTGAATGTAAGTACACACAGGCCAAAAAATCAATTGTCAAATTCATTGACAATATCGCCGCTGTGAATAAAAGTATTGGAACTTGGAAGTGAATGTAAATGTAATTAACAAAGACAAAAGTAGTACAATCGTGATTTCTGACTTCATTAGTTTATCACTATGTTCCTCTTTTGCATGTTTTGTAACGCCCAAAATCTAGAAGGTAATTATGGAAATAAATCATCATTGCTAAAGGCCAACTCGTCGACGTGTTGGAAGTCTTAGGCACGCGTGTTTTTGAGAATCAACTCGGCGAGTTGGTGGAGGCCAACTCGACGAGTTAGACGCTATTTGAGAAGCCCCTAATTTCAGGGTTTTGCACCCTATTTAAACACCTTAAGTTCTAGGTGTTGGCCTCATTTCCAGCCTCCATTGCCTCTTACCCTAACCTCGAAACCCTAGAACCAATTTGAGTGTTGTGAGCCCATTTTGAGTGCATTTTGGGTGTGTTTGAAGCTTGTGGAAGGAAGAAGAGCTTAGTGCAAGGTGGTGATTCAAGAGGAGCTTTCAGATCTCGATTCCTTGCTCTATTTCCAGCATTTTTCGGGTATAAAGTCTCAACTTTGCTTATTTTATGCTTAGATCTCCTTGTTAGGGCTAGTTTCCATGGGTTAGCTAAGTTTGAGTGGTTGATGGGGCGTTGGTCGTCCCAAATGAGTTATTCTTTCGGATCTGTGGTTCTTGGGAGCTCTTGTGGCATAATGGTGTCAACTTTAAGGTCTTAAGGGCTCCATGCATCCATTAAGGCCTTCTTTTGGCATCTTTTGAGCTTTTGAGCTTCTTCTAGCCTTGCATGAGAGTTAAGTTGGAAACTTTACATGATCTTTCAGCCTTTAAGGTCCGGATCTGCATCCATGAGCTTTGTTTTGATGTTCTGGTGATTATTGAGTAAGCCCTTAACCTCTTAAGCTTAGGGTTTGGGTTTTTGACCCATTAGAATGGTTCTTAAGGGTAAAGTGATGGGTTTTGAGCATTCTAACACTCCTATGGTGTACATGCAACCCTATAAACCTTGGATCTATGTTTTCTCTATTATACATGCAAATATTCAATATTCCATGGTTTCATCCTAACTAGCATAATATGGAGCAACTATACTACAAAAGCCTAGTTAGATGACATACCTTTTGTTGGAGCTTGAAGTCTTGGTCTTTAAGAGCTTAGCCCCAATAGTGTGGAAGCCTCAAGTGGAATCACAAATCACCAAAAACACCTTGGAAAACTTGAGAGAATAGCTAGCACTTCTAGAAATCAGCTCACCCTTTGTTGTCACACACTAGTTCAAATTTTAAGTGCCAAAGACCTCTTTATATAGTATGGAGGATTAGGTTACATTCATCTAAACCCTAATACCCATGACCTTTCATTTCCATATGATCCATGGGTTAAACACTCCATGGACTATCCATGAAAGCTTAGCCCAACGTAAATGAACTTGGCCATTCCATATATATATATATAGATATATATATATATATATATATATATATATATATATATATATATATATATTATATATATATATAAGAGTCCATATTTAATTAGTTCCTTTTGATCACTAAATTAATTCTAAATTAATTCTTGATCAATACTAATTAAATAATATGATTCCATATTAATATATTAGAACTTATAATATATTAATATAAATCACAAACATACTATTCTCAAAAGACTATCCATATTAAACTTGTTCCGGTGAAGTGCAACCCAAATGGACCATGCCAAGTCGGGTCGAATACATACCAATTATAGTTATGGACTTAGATACTAATCTAACAGTCTCCCACTTGGATAAGTCTAAAACTATTATTGCGTATGACTCCAAAACCCAACTAGCAATCGTAGCTCTTAAAGCCGCTGTCGAACTCTGACCTTAGTCAATGACTTGTCTATTAGATAAGGGATCATATATTTCTCCATTCTAGATATCATATGGCCTGAGACATGGATTATAATCATTCTCTCTGTCCATTTGTTGTTTCCCAATTTCTGATTTATGACGACCGAATAATTGAACAAATCAAATCAGTCCATGCTTGGACAAGCACTTCGAGGTGTCATCACTAAATCATCGAGGGGCCCACAGATATCGCTTTTATCCCTTTAAGGATAAAAGGAATGGATAAACTTCGACTCATACGCTTGTTCTACTACTTGTTGAATCATACACAAAGGCACGTTTTATAACATCGAGTTACCAATGCGTTTTCGTACAATCAATGTATAACCAACTCATAGGCAACAACTCATATCTCTAGGTTTGAAGAATATAAGATATTATCGTTTTCATGATCACTCGTGATAAAATCCATGAAGTGAGTCAAATGAGCGTGGGTTTAATCCAATACTCAGAACTTATGAGCACTCATGAATATTGTAGCAACTCTTGCTATGTCCACTACCTTGGACATCTACAAACCAGCTTCATGACAGTCTTGCCTTAATACCTACTTCCAACGTATTATTGACTGTGGATGGTTTGAATAACTTAGTCATTCAGGAAGAACGACCTAGTTATTCTGGAAGTCAAAACATGCAAAGTGAAACACAAGAATAATCGAATCCAAATATGGTCTCAGAACTTATGAATATAAATAGAACACCTTTTATTTATCACCATATTGATTACATATTATTCATTGCATACTGTTTCAAATTATCAACTTTATACTTGAATCAAAACAATAGTCATGCCATGCTCCAAGCATGCACACTATGTTTATCCAAACAATAGTCATGCCATACACCAAATATGCACACTATGTTTGTCCAAACATTAGTTATGCCATACACCAAGTATACACACTAAGTTTGTCTATGATCTTTTACTATGTGAAATAGATCGATTGAACATAATTCCAATGATACTCATTTCACAATCCCAAATCCTTATCGTAAATGTAAGAATTCCAAATTCCTACTATTTACCGAAATCTGTTAGATTTTAAACTTATATGCATTGATCCTCTTGTAATGATTATGCACAAAGTCACAAAGACTTGTCAACAATCATTACAGAGTATTCCAATGGAGATCATTCCATGGAAACAAAGTCTCAAATTCAAAGTACATTGCTTTGAACATCCTTCTTGCATTAAGTTTCCTAATCTTACACAGATTTAATGAATAACTTCCACCTATGGGAATATTTCCATATTCTCATTTTGACTATCACTTCTGAACAAGAGTTGCCTCTTTTCAGAATATGTCAATATGGTCCTCTCCAAAAATTTTACACCATACTTCCAACTGTCCCTGAGCAACCACTCTTTGGTAAACCTTAGATTGTCCTCGACAATTGCCTAACCATTTTAGTCATATCCAATTCTAGACTTTTCCCCTCTTAATGCCCTGAGCATTTGGAAAATTTAGAAAGGATGAATATTATAGCACATACAATCGATCCTATATCTAAAGCATATGGGATACGATTCATGATGTCTCACATAAAGACATGATACTAGACCAGTCTTTTTGCTATAATATTTCTATTTCTATTTGCCAAGTTCTCATAATTCAGATTATGAAAAGGGATGTCGTAATCATAATCGAATTTTAGAACGCAAATAAGGGACCCATATATAGAATTTCCTTATGTTGAACCATTCCAACATAAAATTCATATATATCTTTGACTAAAAGATGATTAAAACCTTAATCTAAGCTTTTAGACTTGAAATGAGGTATAATTTCCTCTCCCTTAATTATAGCAAAACAACTTTTCCCAATTGAACTTTTGTTTTTCTATAATTAACATTGGTAACTTGCAACACTTATCATAATTATCATGCTCCCACTAACATGATAATTGTTAGCATAACACTTATGCTCCCACTAACTTTGACATGTACTCAGAAATCAGTTGGACTTCTAGAAATAAA